CTTTGTACTTCTGGTTAAATTTATTCCCAAGTATTTAATCTTGTGATTAGCTATTGTGAAAGGTATTGTTTCTCTTAGTTCTGGCTCTGTATTCTTTTCAATCAGGGTGTTCTTAAAGGCAAGGATGGTGAAACTCTGTCACACATACTTTGGACATGAGATTAGGAAGGACTAGTCTTTGGAAAAAGGCATCATGCTTGGAAAAGCAGAGAGTCAGTGAAAGAAAGGAAGACCTTTAATGAGATGGACTGACACAATGACTGTAACAATGGGCTCAAGGATATCAGAGATGATGAGGATGGCACTGGATAGGGCAGGGTTCAAGACTGTTATTGATATAGTTGCTATGCATCAGTCAACTGAATGGCACATAACAACATCATAAGGTAGGAAAGTCTTGAGGGAAGCATATTATACTCGGTGAGGTAGACAGTCAGTGTAAAAGAAAAAGCCTCAAAATGAAATGAACTGGCACAGTGTTTGCAAAAAAGGACTCAAGCATGACAACAAATGTCATGCTGGTAAAGGTATGTCTAGTTCTGTAGTACAAAGGTTTGTTAAGAGTTAGAATGGACTAAAGGACATCTGACAAACTAATAGTAAAGAATATGTGACTTAAAAAAAAAAAAAAAAAAAAGAATATGTGACTTGAACATTTGGCACTAAAACCTTTCTCTACCGGACCAATTTGAGATCATTAATTTGAAAGTTTACATAGGAAACCAGGCAGGTGGTGAATGTCAATGGAAGATGACACATTCAAAAAAAGGAGGGTGAGAATGGTTAGTCACAGAATCTAAATAATGTCATCAGTGTCACTGATTTTTACATGCAGAAACTACTGAATTGGTACCAGTATGTTCTGCCACGCCTATTATCAAAACAGAATTTTTAAAATCCCTCAATACAGAACCATATCCTTATTTGACAAAAGAAGACCTAAAAGTTTAATGATTTCAATAAGTAACATTTGAGCATAAAAAGGAACTTTTATGTATATAAATAACACATTATTCTGGAGTCAAAGTAATCTTCTAGGGGCATGAGACATTCAATATAATCTTCATGATGCATATTTAGCATTTGTTGAAAGATAATTTTTCTCCAGGAAGAGAAGAATAAATACACTAGCTATGAAGAACCAGAACTCATTCCTTAGGCCAAGCAATTTTTATAGATACTGAAATTTGAGAAACTGAGATCTATTTCATTTGTGGCTACTTCAAACAGGGCTTATATAACTGAAACAATCATTTAATATATAATCTAGTAGTTGCTTAATTTATTTCAAAAGATATAAAAAATTAAATGAAAAATTAGTTATATATTCCAGTCAGCTATAAATATTATAATCGGCATAACTCTATAAACAAAGCGTTAGAAACACTTAAGTGACAAAGTGGAGATCTCAGAAACTTAAATGATTATCTACTTTTAGGTTTAATAGAAGTACAATTAGTAATGTATTATCTTTAATATAATATAGAGTGCCCTGTAAGTATTAACAGTAGATGCATGCTTCAAAATTTCTATCTTGTAACACAAAATGAAAACCAAAAGAGGGAATAGTATGTTGGAGCATACAAATTAATGAATATATCATGAACAAAAAATACCTTTCTTTCTCAAGTTCTTCTAAATATCCTGTACTTTCTCTGCTCCCATTGACAAACCCTCTTCTTGGAAATGAACTCATAGGAACAGGACTGCATTCTCCTGAACGACTTGACACAGATCCTTCCCGGCTTCCAAAAGAACGGAGGGACATTTTTGATCGTAGTTTCACTCCAGGGAAATTACTGCTATCTAAGTTTAGCTCTAAATGAAAGAGAGACAAGTATTTATATAGCAATTGCTTTAACTAGTCTATAATATCCTTAATACTACTATATTTTTAAAAGATAAAATTTTAAATTCATATTATAATCTCCAAATTATAACTGACTTTAAAATACAATTAAAAATATATAACATATAAAGTATAAAACCTGAAGGAGCACTACATTATAGCAACTACTGAGCAAGAATTTATACAGTGAACAGAGGAAATCCCTATCACAAATGACAGGAGTAAGAGGCACTCCTGGTTACAGTAATTTTCACTATAGGAGGGAGAGGAAAAGATTTTAAAAAAACTATAAAGAGGTTGAGCCTAAATAGAGTTAGCTCTGGGAAGGCTTTCAAAAGGACAGTACTTTATCATTGTTATATGCTATCGAGTTGCCTGTGACTCATAGAGACCCTATGTACATTAGTTCTGAAAGCTGCCCTATCCTGAGCCAATCTTATCATCTCCAACAGGCTTAATCTCATTTCTCTAATCACCCAGTCAACCCATCTCCTCCTGGGTCTTCTTCTCCTGTGCTATCCCACTACCCTTCCAGGCATGATGTCCCTCTGAAAAACTGGTCCCTCTTGGCCCTGTGTTCAAAGTATATGAGACAGGAAGTAGCTCAGTTTCACCCTCTCCAGGACAGACCTGTATGTTCTCCCGGAAGTGTATGATATGTTCTACACTCTTCTCCAGCACTATAACTCAAATATATCAATCCTTTTATCATCCTTAGTTACTGTCCAGCTCTGTGATGTATAGCAAGTAACTATGAAGACCATGTGGCCTGGTTCAGGCGCACCTCAGTCTCCAGACTAACATTGTTGCTCTTCAGTACGCTAGACAGGTCCTTGTCAGCACACTTTCCCAATGCAACTCATCTTTTGATTTCCTGACTGCTGGTGCCAAGAGTGTTGATTGGGGAACTAAGGAAGCTGAACTTATCACAGTCTCAATTTCTTCTCCATCCATCATGCAGCTGCCAATTGGCCCAGCGGTGTGAATCTTTGCGTTCTTGATGTTAAGCTTCAATTCATATTAAAGACTACAGTTTTTGACCTTCTGCAACAAATGTCCTTTTGAGTTTCAGCAAGCAAGGTTGTGTAATCTGCATAATGAAGGTTGTTCATTAGTCTTCCTCCAATCCTGATGTCACATTCCTCCTCATAAAGTCCAGCCTTCTGAATGACCTGTTCCACATATAGATTAAAAAGATATGGAGATAAGATGCATCACTGATACACACTTTTTCTAATCCTGAACTATATAGTAGTGTTTCCCTGCTCTGTTCTGACCACTGCTTCCTGCTCCAAGTATAGGTTTAACATGAGCACAATTAAGTGTTCTGGGATTCCGATTCTTCTCATGGTTAGCCACAATTTATTGTGATCCACATCGTCAAAAGCCTTTGCAGAGTCAATGAAACACAGATAGACATCCCTCTGGTGCTCTCTGCTTTCCATCAAGATCCATTTAACATCAGCTATTATGTCCCTAATGCCTCAAACTCTTCCAAACCGAGTATGTATTTCTGGTAGTTCTCCGTCAATGTAGTATTCCAGTTGTTTCTGGATAATCTTCAGTAGGATCTTGCTTGCATGTGGTATCAGTTATAGCTGAATAATTTTCACACCTTGTACTAAGTCCTAAAATATAGATTCTGTAAAAGGATATCCTGCTTGGCTCAGAAACCTAACTAAAGTCCTGAATTTCAAATGGACAAGACCAGAAATGCACATGATCAATAAACACATATTTAGAATCAGTATGGCTAAACTTTTCCTCCAAATCCATCCCAGGCCAGGGAAAAATAAGTAGTATGTTAAAAGAAAATGAGACAAAATAGCTTCAGATTTTAAAGAAACACTGCATGGTTCAAAACTGGGAAAGGTATACGCCAGGGATGTGTCCTAACTCCATACCTTTTCAACCTGTATGCAGAACAGATTATCCGGGAGGCTGGGCTCTATGAGGAGAAGTGTGGCGTCAGGATTGGTGGAAGATCTATTAACAATTTGCATTATGCAGATGACATAACCCTGTTTGCTGAAACTGAGGAGGACCTGAAACGCTTGCTGCAGAGGGTCAAGGACTGCAGCCTTCAGTATGGATTGAGGCTCAATGTCAAGAAGACAGATTCTCACCACTGGACCAATTGGCAGCATCAGGGTGCATGGTGAAGAGACTGAGATTGTTAACAACTTCAGTCTGCTTAGCTCCATGGTTAACACTCTTAGCACCAGTAGTCAGGAAATAAAAAAACATATTTATTGCGATGGGAAAGTCAGCTGTTAGGGACCTCTCCAGGGTACTGGAGTAATGGTGTCACTCTGGAGACTAAGGTGTGTCTGATCCAGGCTATGGTCTTTGCAATCACTTGTTCTGCATCAGAGAGTTGGACAATGACTAGGAAGGACAGACGGTTAATTGATGCCTTTGAGCTCTGGTGCTGGAGAAGAGTATTGAATGGTCCATGGACTGCCAAGAAAACAAACAGATTCATCCTAGAGGGGGTTAAACCAGGCTGCTCCTTGGAGGCAAGGATTCTGGGGCTTCGTCTGACATACTTTGGACATGTTGTAAGGAGAGACAGGTCTTTGGAGAGGGACATCATGCTTAGGAGGGCGGAGGGATGGCGCAAGAGGGCAAGACCCACTATGAGGTGGACTGATTCAGTGACTGGGGTAATTAGGATGGGTGTCAGAGGCAGTGCGATTGGCACAAGATAGAGCAGGGTTTAGGGCTCTTGTACATAGGTTCGCAAGTGACTCGACAGCACATTACAACAACAATATTTTATTACCAAAAAGTAAAATTTTTTGCCTAGCTTCAATTATTAATCACTTTGCCTGCTTACATATTGAATTTTCAAGGTGGGGTTTTCCCCCCTAATCCTGCTAAAATGGTTTATTATTAGCTTAAATTATAATTTCCATCTTGAATTAAACAGAGAAGGACACGACTTCTTCAAATGAGTTAAAGGACTCAAGTCTGTAGTATAGGTCTAGTTCTTAGTTTGTCGAATGGCAATGAACCTTCAAACTAGATTAGTTTCTTTAAAGTCAGTTAAATTCCTAGCATGTTAGTGGATTTTTTTTCATATCTGTGAGAGTGGCATCTACTTCCTAAATAAAATGCCTCCAGAAACTCTATGAACTCTGATAAATAATGGTTGTAGAGGGGCTTCGGGCCTTTTGTTCATGGAGTCGCTATGAGTCGTGCTCGACTCGAAGGCAATCAACAACAAACAATAAGGCTAATAATATACTAGAACAATGGTATTGACACTCAAATCAAGAAAAGCTTCATTTCAACCTACATACTTATATTTGACAAAATGTAATTTAAAAATTCTTTAAAACACTTTAAAATGTCCAACCTTTAAGACGCTCTAATAGGTCAATCTGTCCAGAAGAAGCCATAGCTTCATCTTCAATACTTCCTTGCAGCTGTTTAAGTACTTCCTGTTAAAATAAAAGAACATGACAGTAATGTGACAAATTCTAAATAATTTCTTAACGACATGATGTAATTTCTTGTAATTTATGTATGCTGAGGAGAAAAAAGCTTTCACATCAATATGAAAACATTTTCTAAGCTGTAAAGCACTCTCTATGTATCATCTATTATTAGTCTACTCGACCACTCCGGTTGAGTCAACTCCAACTGACAGTAATATTCCATTCTGTTTCCAAGCCTGCAAATATTTACAGGACAAGACTCTCCATCTTTCCCCTGAAAAGCAGCTTGAAGATTTTGTTGGCAGCACACTGTAACACTAAACCATATCCCAAAATAGTAATGGCAGTATTTTGTGATAACTATAATTATGGAAGAGATTCTATTGTAGACACTACATAAAATATTTGGCATATAATATTTGTAGTTTTGAGAACAATATGATTATTCCCATTTTAAAACATATATATCCAGCAACTTGCCTATGCCACAGTTACATTAATAGTTAATGTTAAGAGAATTCATGTCTCTTAAATTTACAACAGAACGACAAAAAAGATCAATTTTTAAATCTTATTTATCAGCTTAGATCTTATATACCATAATTTAGCATATTTCATGAGAATACTGAATTACAGAGATATTTTTCCATCTAAATCTTTCTCTTGTTCATTTCTTCTCCAAGAATGTTAGAAACTCTTTCCTATTTTTATAATGGTGAGATGTACTGTATATTCCTTAATATAAACTTATAGTAATTTTCATATTTAAAGACAACATATCAACCTTTTCATTATGGAGAGATATCCACTATATAAAAATGATTTATAAATAACAGGAAATGGTAACTGTCAAAAAGTGAGCTAGTGCAAAGACACTCCCACTAGTTAATCTTCACAGTGATACATATATTTAAAGAAACAAAAGAAAACATCAGAACAACCAAATCCAAGATATTATGTTAACAAGAAATAGCCTATGAACACATGAGGTGACTATCAAGTCACAGATCATGCTGAATTCTGAAAATCTGGTAAACAGACACATTATGAAGGTGACTGGTATTCATACTCTGTTACTTTGAAAGTGAACAGTACTCATGTTCTTTCCACTAAACATCTGTTAGTTTGCTGTATTGTGGGAGTTTGCACGTTACTGCAATGACAGAAGCTCTGTCACCAGTATTTCAAATAACAGTAGAACTTGGACAAGCTTCCACTTCTGAAATGAACTCTATGAAAAAGTAAGTGACATCAGCATGTAACATCAGGACTGAAGTAACAACCTACATTCTGCAGATGACACAACTGTGTTTGCTGAAAGCGAAGAGGACCTGAAGCACTTATTGAAGAAGATCAAAGACTACAGCCTTCAATATGGATTACCAAAGGCCATCACAAATAGGACCAATAGGCAACATAAAAAATATATGGAGAAAAGACTGAAGTTGCAAAGGATTTAATATTACTTAAATGCACAATCAGTACCCATGAAAGTGTTGTTGTTGTTAAGTGCCGTCGAGTCACAGGCGACTCATACCGACCCTATGAAAGAGAGTCCTGGACACTTGGGTGTCTTTCTCTCTCCAGGTTCATAGGGTTTCCAGAGGCAAGCTATTACGGAAGTTGATGCCACTCCTCCTTCCAAGCTTGTTTTAATCGGGGAGCTCCACCCCACTCTCTGTCTGCATTGGTAACCAACCATTAATGCATTTGACACATTAGTGTCACAGTGTTCAGCCTCACAGCAACCACAAGGGACCACTGTATGGCACCTTGTACACCAGGGCTATGAAAGTAGCAGTCAAGAAATCAAAAGTGAGAGTGCGACTCAGAGAGAGTGATGCACGACAGTAGGAATTTGAAAGAAGGAATTTACTTTAGGATCCACAGGAGCAGAGAGCCAGCAGGAGCCTCTGTTGGTTTCATCCACCAGGCACAAGGCAGGACAGTGGGAATTTGACTGAGCTTTCTTAAGCCCTGCCAGACCCAGAGCCCCGCTGTGCGAGAGCTGCAGGGCGAGAGTTGCCGGGCGGGGCGTCAGACATCAGGAATTTGAGTGAGGACAGCTGGAATCTAAGGGAAGTCCCTGTGCGTACCCACTCTGCTCTCGTCACTGCCCAGGGAGCCTGTCCCACCCAAACCCATGCTTCAATGTCCAAGTCAACTAACTTGCCTTTAATCCAGAGTGCTTTGATCTGACCTAGCTGCAACAAGAGGCTGCTCTCACAGGCTCTGAACTGAATCTTCCCTTGGTTCAGAAATTCAGAGAGAAAGAAAGGCAAGGTAGCTGCCCTACCCTCTCCTAGAGCAGTGACTTCAGAGCAAGAACCTATCATCACCTCAGGCATGAAAAGCTCTACCATAGCAATGTCATGTAAGAAGCAGGCTATCTCATAACCTACACAAATGTAAAGCAAGATGTCACCCCCAAAAGGTGACACAGTATCAATGGATTTTCTGAGGCCAGAAAGTCTCCTGGAACTTTCTGACACAGAATTTAAAAGAATAATGAATGAATATTTTCAATGGGTGAAAAACAAACTTGAAGAATTACAGGATACTGCAAGCAAAAAGCAGGAGGAGCTTAATCCAGCATAGTGCAGAGAAAACAAATTAAACAACACTGCAAAAACAAGAAACCACAATCCAGATATGAGGTCCAATGTTTCAAATGCTGTCATCATGATCATGATGGAGGGACACATGAACAGAGTTGAATAGATGGAGCACAGAACCAGTGAAACAGTAGAATTGATCTGTTAGAGCGAAAAGCAGAATCAAAAAGGAAGGAAAAAGAAGACAACCCAAGAATAATGTGGGACACCATCAAGAGAAATAACATGTGCATTATCAGAATCCCAGAATAGAAGCAGCAAGACAAGGCACTGAAAAAGTTGTAGAAGAATTACTAGGAGAAAACTTCCAAGGCATAATAAAGAATGAGAGAATATATATTCAAGAAGCTGAGCAAACACTATATAGAATAGATACCAAAAGAAAAACACCAAGGCATATCATAGTCAAATTTTCCAGAACTAAAGATAAGCAGAGAATTCTGAAACCAGCGAGGGAGAAACAGAGTAACCTATAAGGGAGAGCAAATAAGATTAATTGCTGATTTCTCAGCAAAAACCATCCAAGCAGAAGACAGTGGAATGACATATATCAAACACTCAAAGAACACAACCTGTCAAGCAAGAATACCCCCCAAAAATTGTCCATCAAATATGAAGGAGACATTAAGATATTCCCCGAAAAACAGAACCTAAGGAAGTTTGTAAAAACAAGACCAGCATTACAGGAAACACTGAGCGATATCCTTCTTACAGAGGTGCCACAGAAAGCAGGATGGACCAAAGTAACTAGCAACACCACCAAAAAGAACTCAACAAAATGATAGCAATAATAATCACGCTGAATGTAAATGGTTTGGATGTACCACTGAAAAGAGGGAGAGTAACAGACTGGATAAAAAAAAAAACAAACCCAAACAACACCCAAATCCATCAATATGCTGTCTACAAAAGACACACCTGATAAATGAAGTTAAAGAAACACTAAAAATAAAAGGGTGGGAAAAAATATACCAAGCAAATGGCAACCAGAAAAAAGCAGGAGTAGTGACAGTAATCTCTGATAAAATAAATTTCAATGCAAAATCCATCACAAAGGACAAGGAAGGTCACTACATAATGTTGAAAGGGTCAACAGAACAATAGGACATAACAATAATAAATATCTATGCACAAAATTAAAGACCTGCAAAATACATAAAAGAAAACATTAATAAAACTGAAAAAGGAAATAAAAAACACTACTGTAGTCCTTGGAGACTTCAATACATCCCTCTCAAGAAAAGATAGCACTACCAGAAAGAACTCAACAAAGATGCAGAAGAATTAAATCACACAATAAACTAACCCAACCACATAAGATATTTATATGTTAATGCACCCCCCAAAAAGCACACTATACCTTTTTCTCCATTGTTCATGGAATGTTCTCCAGTATAGATCACATTTTAAGTCACAAGGCAAGCATCAATAAATTAAAAAACACATAAATAATATAAAGCATCTTCTCAGACCACAATGCTGATGAGGAGACCTCATCTTTTCTCCAGGAAATGTTGGCAGAATTGCACTGCTGTCCTCTGGATGTGCTCCAGAACTTATAATGTACTACACTATCAGAGCTCCTTAAATATACCCAGTTGGGTATCAAACTCCACATCTATTAGATTCACAAGAATTTGTTAAAGACTGCTAATTGAAAAACTCTTGGGTGTGGGCTCAGAATGAACATTCTGCACAATTCCCAGGTGAGGCTGATGTAGAAAATAGTATCATCAATTTGCTAATCATGGTAGTCTATGAAGGATAGCATTGCATGCAATTCTTCGTCTTTTGTTTACTATTTTTTAAACAATATGTATTAAAAAATTTAAAAGCAACACTTAAAATAATGACATGTCACAAGACATACAGAACATTTTTCAGAAAGTAATGCCATATTCTAGAGCTCAATTTTCAGATAACAGATTAGCTTGTAAAATAAACAGTATCACCCACGATCAATGTAGTACCCCTAAAGCAAAGCAGAAAATATTTACCCAAAAGCAAAGAGAAGACAAGGAGTGGAAGGTTAAGTTAAAATAAACAAAATAGACATAATGAAGATGCCGACACACTGAAAACTGTAACCAATGTCACACTAGTATGTAAAAAAGTTGTTAAATGAGAAATTCTCTACACAGATTTTGACCTTAAAAAAAGAAAATGGGGGAGGTGGGTGGACACCCACTAAAACTTAAAGCACATACAAATAATAATGTCCTTTTAAAAATAATGCCAAAAAAACAGAGCAATGATTAAAAAAATAACATCAAAAAGAGAAGACTGAGTAAACTTACAATAGTAAGGTACTGCTTAAATAAACCATAACATTGGCTGTACAAGATACTGTACAGCTATGACACAGAAACACAGTAAATGCTGTTGTTA